TCTACAGGTCAAGACTGCAGTTTACACTCATCTACAGGTCAGGACTCTGCAGTTTGCACTCATCTACAGGTCAGGACTCTGCAGTTTACACACATCTACAGGTCAGGACTGCATTTTACACTCATCTACAGGTCAGGACTGCAGTTTACACTCATCTACAGGTCAGGACTCTGCAGTTTGCACTCATCTACAGGTCAGGACTCTGCAGTTTACACTCATCTACAGGCCAGCGGTCACTCTTTCAGGGTTGAAGATGTTCTTATCCTTGATAGAGAGGAACATTGGTTTAAGAGAGGAGTAAAGGAAGCCATCTTTGTGAAGAAAAAACGTCCACCATTAAACAGAGGTGGAGGCCTTCGTGACTCCGCCCCCTGTGAGCAAAATGTGTGAATCAGGGCCCCAACGATAATCAGGTGTTGGTCCACATGACCCTCTCTGAACAAAAGAGCCAATCACGGCTCTAACGACCTATTGTTTGGCTGATGATCCTCTTTTACATGCGACTAACCTGTTTGTCCATGTGGAGGCAGTGCTTATAAGGCTGAGTTCACCTGAAACTCATCAGAGTGAAGAAGTCTCTTGGAGGAGAGATTAAACGTTTCACTAAAGAAGAACCCATCCAGAGGACCTACTTATTTTTTCTTTTTGATTTTTCTACCTGGATTACTGAGGTGCATCAGGACAAAACATAAAAAAATAAATAAAACAATAATCAAACTGTCCTGGTTGAGTGGAGTCAGTAATTCTGATATTTGACTGAAATGTTATAAACATTACTTTTCTGCCTAAATGTGATATAATGTTCCTAATACAGTATATATAACTACATAAAGCTTATAGTTTTACATTTCTATTTTGCTGCAGTTATATTACACCTTTGGAACAGAGAGTGAAATTATTGCAACAACGTACTGCAAAGAGCAGACTTTAAATATGTGATTTAAGTAATTGGGGCATTTGCCCTAGAAAGGTTTTCTGTTTAACAACCCCTCAGGAAGACACAGAAAGAGTTAAATTGAATAAAACGTGAACAAACGATCAGAAAGCAGCAGAAAGTAATGAGAGCGGGGACGCAGTGGGTTTAATCAGGTTACGGGACTTTGCTTATCTGTTTCATTTAAATGGAAGCAGGAATGGAATAAATGATGGGTTGAACTTTTGGGATTAGACACACAATTTCCTTAACCTGATGAGGTGTCCCTMTTTTGCCCCCCACAGCTCATCCCCTCTCTCGTGACACTCCCTGCACCTCTTTCTTCACCTCTTTAAGTTTGTCACAGTTAATCTGGTCTTTCTCCAGAGCCATTTTAGTTTTACATTGTGTTGCCTCTGAGCTATAAAGGCTCGCTCGCCGGTGCCGTTGTAACTTTTACCTCTACTCCATGTAAAGAAGATTACAGGTGCAGATTGATTTGTTTTTCGTCTCCCGCTGTTCGGCTGCGGTCACGCCTGTTTTGTAACCCACAGCGACAGCATTGCCTGGTAACCGTGAGCAGCGGTGACAGCTGCGACTGTGAGAATCACCRGAGCTGTCGGCGTAAGAAATGTGGCAACAGGATGCACGTGTGACACGCGAGCCGGGGACCGTGGAACGCAATAATCTATCTATTCAACCATCTGCAGCACCCAGACATCGATTTATCTGCGCATCTACTTTGAAGTGAGTTTGATTCCAAGAAATCTGGAAAGCTGAAATTYGCAGAAGCAAAAGATTATTATAAAGTGAAAAGAGCGATTTAAAAAGGCCAAACTAACAACAGAAAATGTTTAAAGGCTGGCAATTCTGCAAACAGTTGGTRCTGAGGGATACCAATGAATAATAAATGTAGTAATTAATTTATTTTGTTTGAACACTTGAGTGTTAGTTTATTGTGTTTAAATAACTTGGAGTTTTTTTTTTTAAAGAATTTGAATTTAAACACAATGGAATTGCATTAGATACCCAAAAATACACAGAAAAGGAGGGATACAATTCTGATCAGAGTCTGAAAAATACACTATACACCAGTTTKTTGTTTGGCCTAACACTTCCTCGGAGGTAACTGTGTCTTAGAGCCTCTGAACCATTGGCTAATTGGGTTTTTGGCCCCTGGCTAACATCGTTCTCTTGGGTATTCTAAACTGGGCCAAACAAAGTATTAACCTATGTAATATTGTTCTAAAGGAAAGAACAGTAAAGTCACAGAACTGACTTCTACAAAACTCCCAACTTGGAAAATCTGCACCAGAGGCTTCAGTCTCTTATGGAAAGAATAACAATAAATAAATAAAAAACAATTAAGTTAAAATAAAATGTTTATTTTTCATGGGAAAAAAATTGTACCACTTTACAATAAGGCTTCCCTTATTGATGGCTTATAAATATTTTATAGATAGATTATTAACTTATCTGTAAACACTTTATAAATCATTGATAAGTGTTTATTATGCATCAATAAAGGACAAGAAAGAGACAAAACTGTACAGTTTCTTGCCAAATAGTGAGCCAAATCTGTTAATACGCATATTACATCTAAAAGGTGCCATTTTAAACATTCCAGACTAGGTTATTACCTTGTAGGCGCAATAAACACATATTTTACATACTATTGTTCTGTATTACTGCATTATACATATCCACAATTATCAAAGGTAGTGTTATTGTAAAGTGTAAAAAAGTACACTATTCATAAGTTTCCCTTATGACATTTATACATGTTTATTAGTGACTAATAAATAGTGTGCTGTCTTACCCTTTCCAATAAGGCTCCCTTTGATAACTGTGGATATGTATAATACAGTTTAGTATTTTATGTAAATATATAATATAATMATTATTGTGCTTACAAGGTTAAAACCTAGTCTGAAATGTTTAATATAGCACCTTTTAGTTTTAATATGTAGACAAGTCTGTTTTCTTAAGTTTTATCATAAGAAAATCAATCAATGCAGAGAAATATAGTGATTAGAGAAGATATTTTATTATGAATTAAACTGCCTGTGAAAGGACAAGTGGATACTCTACAACAAAACAAGAGCAACAATTATTAGTTATTTTATTTTATTTTATTTTATTTATTTGTTTTGGTTTACTCTTAGCAGTTTTCCAAGCTATTTTCAGCTCTCAACTAAAATATTCTCTCTCTCAATAGACGATGGATATTTTACCAAATTATTAACCCATATCTGGTTTGGTGATCATCAGTTCAGGTTGTTTTTCAGTAAAAGGCCATTTGAAGAACAGGGGTTAAGTGGGGGTATTCATAGGTGGAAAAGTGTGAAGCACTGCTCTGCACATGTGTTATTTTGTTTAGATAATTTGTTTCTATGTGGAAAGAGTTCAGCAGCAGCCAAGTCTTTATAAATTATCTTTATGAGGACAGACAAACGCAGACACTTTCAAGGCCCATGAATTACTTTCTTTACTGATTCACACTCTAATGACACCCATTAAAAAAACTAACACTTGTGTTTGTTTCAGAGCTACGTGGGAGTGGAATTAAATGTGATGAATTTCATGGAAGCTGGATTTTAGGATTGTATTTGGATATGTGTGCAATTTGTGTGGGTGGGCATAGTAAACAGAACTGAATGAAAGTTTTGTCTTCAGGTGTCAGGTTTACAYACCTTTCAGTGTTTTATACTATAATTGTTAGTAAGAATGTTGCTTTTTATTTAGCAGAATGAGTTTGTGGGAATGTGTGTGGCATGTCTAGATATGCTCAAGTATTAAATTGTTGTGCAGTCCTTCATGTTTGTTCACGTTCATGTTTCTGGTTACCTGTTAGTCTGGTTTGAGTTTGTCACTTTAAGTATTGAATTCTTTTCTGAACCGGTGTCCTTACTTCCTGCATTTGGGTCAAATTTTCTGCGTGATAGCTGACATGATAAAACACTTTTTTTTTCAGCAAATGGTGCCACAGTTAGATGAGGTTGCAKAAAACAGCTTTATATTCTTCCACCGTTTGTCTGTTTTAATGTGAAACAAAACAAACAAAAAATAAACCACCAACTCTCCACCTCATGTAAGAGCAAAGTGATTATAAATGAACGCAATGAGAGGAGGTGAAAGTGTTTTTATACAGACATGTCTGAATGCGAGTCCATCGGATGGTCCACGCTGCTTTTTCGAGTGTCATCGCTTTTATTAAAAGGTTTATTGTGAGTGTTTTTAAATGAGCTTCCCAACAAAAGTGTTTTTTTGAGATGGAAAATTACAAATTTGAAATACTTAACTTTATTTAGGTACATATGGCTTCAGAATTGAGAGTGCAGCAAGCTTTATTTTTGACAGACAGCTTTWACTTGGTTCCTAATTCACAGCACATGATGGATTTTATCACTGATGTTCCAATCATTTCTGTTTCAGCAACACAGGTTCTATTTATTTACCTAAGTCCCCCCCCCCACCACAAATTTACAGCAGCATACCTCAGCTTTGATTTTGTTGTCTCCAAAGCAGAGGTGCTGCAGGTAGGCTGCAGCATTGGACTGCACCGAGGGGAACTGGTGCTGCAACATCTGGATCACCTCTGGCAGCTCCGGATCTCTCCACCCAAACTCTCTGTAGAGAAAACAGACAGAGGTGCTTAGATGTCTTCAGCAGGTTCACCTCAAAAACAAGAGCTTATCTGAAACAAGTCCAATAAAATCAGACTTTATTCCCCAACATCCTAAAAAGAAAAGAGCTTTAACCATTCATTTCAGTGACTGCAGTGTTTATACATTAAAGGTTAGGCACAGAAATTTACTAATTATGKTTTTAGCCACACAAAGCAAACTCAGATAATTGTTTTTATGGGACCCTTTGATGGACTTGTAATGTATTCAAATTGTGTCCCACTTTATGCACAGTGACTGTTAGAGATGGACTCCAAGTGCAAGAAGAAGCAGGGAAAGAAAATTAACAAATGGACAGATATTGAAAATGTGAGTAAAAGATGATGCCAACAGGTTAAGCAGTTGGCTTCCAGAAATATTTCAAAATCAAGAACCAGTGGGGAAAAAAACATTTAAAATAACATCATTTTAAAGGGCAACTCTGCTTACTTTAAGAGCTCGGGTGAGGAGTTTAGTCCACCGGGATGGACCGAAKAGAAAAGCCACTGAGGCTGTAATTCAAAAGAAACCAGATAAGGAGAGTTCTGACATTCATCTGTCTCCAATGTCCTCCTTGAACATCTCCCATATAWGATGTTCAGAACATGTCCAGCCAGGAGGTGACAACAGAGGAGACCGTCCCCGAGTCCTGAGAGCCCCTCTACTCGCATCCATTAACAATAGATTAGACACCTCATCGGAGACCTAACCTCTAAATGTAGCAGAGGAACAAGCAGCTTTTGGTGCCCGACACTGAAGGCAAAGATGATGATGAAGGATATTTTGTGACTGATTAACTGAATTTTACATATACTTTTATATTTTATACTTTGTTATGAATTGTAATAATTTAATTTAAACAGAATCGACAAGTCTTCATTTTAATTTGTGCCTCGTAACAACAGYATAAACATGTAATGTTTTACGTCTTAGAAGTGTTTACGTCCTTGTTTTAGGGGCATGACAATGACATCATACCTGGGGTGAGACTTGACTCTGGCATAAAGCTGTGGGTCACAAGATTGAGTCTCCAGAGTGAGGGGAGGAGTTTTGTGTTGTAACTATGTGTCCACAGTGAAATGTTGAAGTCAAAAATTGAATTTGTTTCCTGTGCAACAAAGCCAATTTACATAAATAACATGTTAGCTCATTGTAGCAGAACAACCTGAGAGTTTTAAAAGGAGGTAAAACGTTGAAAGAATTGCAGCGTCACTCATGCCTGCATGCTGTGTGCAGAGTTTTGTTCTGTACTTTCAACCGTTAAAAGTTTACATGCTTATGAACACTGTGGACAAAGGGAAATAAATGCTGTGTCCCTTGGTAATACTCAGGAAATTATTTCCTTTATTGTGTTATCTGGGGCTAATAATTGTTTTGCTACAGGCCCCAAAATTAGGAAATTATGAGTGCACGCACACACACACACACACACACCAACGTTCCTGCAAACAGCTGCAACATTTTCTTCAATAAACACTCTGCACAGTTTCCTCTGCTCCTGTCTCTCCAGTTCTCAGGTACTTTCAAGAAACTGTCAACTTTCAAAAGTATTCGACAAAAAAACAAAACAAAAAAAAAACTTGTGATGGAAATTTAGAGGCCTTCATCGATCACTGTGTTTGAGGATTGATTTTGTTGTTTCTGCCTTCATGGTTGTAGTGCAAAATGCAGCTCACTGTAATCCCCACATGCTATTACAATTAATTTTACCCCTGAGCWCGGCCAGCTCACACAGGAAAATGTAGCAAATATTGAGGAAATTGATTCATTTGGAGGAGTTAAAAAAACAATGGGGACGATGTGTGTGAATCCAAGGTTATTGCAGTAGGTTATGGCATGGTACGAGGGCCAAAATTAAGACTGTTGCGCAACCAGTGGTTGCTACATCCTTATAAGGCTATATCTATTCCTAAACCAGCTATTGGTCTAATTATTGATAGGCCAGCACCGCTAACTGAGCACCTGGCCCCGGTAACTGAGAAGTTGGCACTGGCAAATGAGAAGGAGACTATTCATTTTAGCCTTAGGATTGGAGAGGCTAGCGACTAGCATGGATAAACTTGCATTAGCATTGGAGAGGCTAGCGACTAGCATGGATAAGCAGAAGTTAGCATTGGAGAGGCTAGCGACTAGCATGGATAAACTTGCATTAGCATTGGAGAGGCTAGCGACTAGCATGGATAAGCTGGGGTTAGCACTGAAGAGGCTAGCGACTAGGATGGATAAACTTGCATTAGCATTGGAGAGGCTAGCGAGTCGCGACTAGGATGGATAGGCCGTTTACCTTTTAGACACAAACTTTTTTTAACAAAGAAAACTTTCTCAACAAAAAAGGGTTGACATACGAAACCTATAAACGACGCGCACTGAGAGGTGCTTCTTAGACAGAATTTATTGTTCAACATGAAGTCAAGCATAAACATAAAACATAAAGCTGGAAGCAGACATAGTTACCACCTGAATTAGCAGCTTTGTTTGCCCTCGTCTATTGGTAGACAGTTGTGTTTTTTTCTCTTTAGCTGAATTATGACAAAAGTCAGAACTATTAAGTTGGGGCTTTTTACAGTTTTTGACAGGATATTAAATTAGGCTTCTCTATATTTAATTATAATTTATACAGATATTTTTTATAACTCTACATTTCATAAATGCCTTTGATATTTATGGTCGCCAGCCTCTCCAATGCTAACACAAATGAATAAAACAAGACTCTCAGTTACCAGGGCTAGCCTATCATTAATCAGATCAATAGCTGGCTTAGAAATAGATATGGCCTCCTGATACAAGGATGAAGCAATTGCTGTTGGCGCAATAGTCTTAATTTTGAACCCTCATCCTGCACCATACCAGGGAAGTAAAGGAGTAGCATTCATTCAATTAATATTACCTACCTCCCTACCAAAATGCATAGACAGGAAGTTATTTTGGTCAAACTTTATAAATGACCTTATGCATTATTTCATAAAGTGGGTTAATGTCCTGCATATATTCTATCACTCAGTTTAGTTCAATATATTTTTAACACACAGTTTTGTACTGACTAATATCAGCCATGGTGGCCATTTTATTTTGGGTTGACACCAACTTTMATGGGATTGACTCCATGGGATTGATAACTATTCATTTCTGAGAGTTTCATTAAGATTCGCACATGACTTTACAGTATGTTACTTTACTAATGTTGCATACAAATGCACAGACACAGACACAGCCATGGGCAACAACTTCATTATCACTCCGACTTCTAGGGCGGGCGATARAGCCTCGACGCTTTACATTATTTCTGCCAGATCAAGTGAGTGGCGTGTGTAAAACATTGGTGAAAGTGGCACATTCCCGGGGGAGTAAACACGGCTCTCAAAGATAAAGCCAGCTCCAGTGTGGACAGCTCTTTATCTGCYGAATGATAAGTGTTCATTCAGCGAGAAAGCAGGACAGGAGGAGGGAGGCAGAAGAGAGATAGATACAGGGAGGATGAGGGAGGGATTCCCAAGGCATTTAAGGGACTTAGGAGGAGAGACCCTCAAACGGGGCTTGTTAAATCACACAGCCAGATACCATAGGGGTAGTTTGTTTGGGTGTGTGCTTGAGTATGTGTGGCAAGTTAAAGACAGGATCATTGTGTGTGTTTGTGAACACTCTTGCCTCTCTGCCTGTTGGTATTCGTGACCGTATGTGTATTTATATTCATTTACATCTTTACTTAAACATATACAAGCACTGAAGGATGTGGTGATGCGAATTCTTGCTTAAGAGTGTGTTTGAGTGTGTATGCATGCGTGTGTCATCCATCCCCTGCAGCCTATCCAGCTCTGTCAGTGTGGTTATTAGAAAGCAGAGTGATCTGCTGATAAGATAAGCATCGTGGCTCGCCATTAATTAAAAACCCCTGGTAGTGATGGGAAGAGTGAGAGGAGCAGAGAAAAATGGAGACAGTGAAACACAGGAGGAGGAGAAAGGAAGAAGGGTTTACGTAAGAACAAAGTTTCAGTGGGATCAACTGGCAGATGGAAGCTGACAAGAGATTGGAAATACAACCCCAATTCAAAAAAAAAAAAAAAAAAAAACAGATGTGTGTAAAAGGTAAATGAAAGAAAATGTAATATTTTGCAAGTCCCCTGGACTTTCTGTGTGGAGTTGGCAAGTTCTCCCAAGATTGTCTGGCCTTCAACATTAAAACCAGGTTTGATTCTATCCTGGACATCAGTTCATGGGCTCAGACAACACTGCTGTGTTCTTTCACAAATTCTTGCCTGTAAACACTGTTTGCCATGCCATCCAAAATTTCTGCTTAAAGCTCCATCGTGGAAAGAAGAAGCCATATATCATGTCTCAAATGCAAGGCCCACAGGTGACTCTCCTTTGACCTACCAAGGTGGGGCACCTCCCAAGAAAAAACTAAACAAAACATTTTTTTTATTTAATATGAAAATTGTTTCTTATATCAATGGTAAATGTCAAATTTATGATTAAATGCAACAAAATAAACAAATTTAAAAAGTGAAACATAATAATTCTTGTCCTACCCCTGAGCCATTGGCTTTAAGTATTTGAGCAATTTAGTTGGGTAGCTCAGTGTTATCTCAATACAAGTGGCTTTAAAGCCAACATTGACCATGAATTGCATCTCCCATAATGCATGACGATCATCCATGGGAATTCTCTGTCAGAAACTGGAAGTGTTCAGAATTTAAGAAGGCAGCTACTCACTACAACTAAATCAGTGAGTAAAACACTCCTACTTTTACTTTTAATATTATTTCTGTATTATATATTTCAGATTTCGTCAGTCGTACACTTAGTAATTTTTAGTGTTTTTAAAAGGATGTTTTAAAACACTGTTTTAGTCTAACTTAAACATGAAACATCAAAATATAATTACAACCGGCCCTTTGAGGGCCACCGTAACGCTCATATGACCCATGGTGAAAATGAGTTTGACAACCTTTCTATATTTGAACACCA